TAAGAATCTGCTCTACCGACTGAGCTATCCCCACCACATGACAATAATATGCATCAACGTGTGCAAATTTATAGTCGGGATAACACTGTGTTCTATCGCGATTGATTTCGAATAATAATTATTCTATATAATTACGAAATAGTTTCACCATTTTTAATTAATTACGAAATAATTTTGTTTGCAATTCAGCATGGGCAAACGTGGGAATAATTTTGGAAAGATTTTTTTTCAAAGACAGAAAAAACGTTTTAGAACGCGTATCTTCCGAAGATTCTGAGATAATGAGGATGCGACAGAAACAAATGGAACTTCGACAAGCGGAAATAACGCTAATGATTGGAATTGGATTGCCAAAGATAATGATCGAAAAAGTTTCATCTTTCACGGAAATACCAGGTAATAAAGCCTTTATTTTTGAAAAAATTAGGAGACAATCCCACTCGTAATAGATTTATTCGATCTAACATTGAAGGATGATTATCGGGACGCGATAGCTGTTGAAGCAAATAAATATGCAGCACAGATGCTAAATAGTGAGAATTACAAAAAGGAAAAATACAAAAAGACGAGTGAAACTACTTGGGAATGTGAACTTTAGTAGCTTGACATATTCCAGAATGTTTCAAAAAGTATCACACTGAAATACACTATTTAGGTTAGGTTAGGCTAACCTAAACACTCGATGTACAAGCTTCGAACTAAAGTGTCATCGTAATTCGACCTCTGCGTGAATTTTACGATTGAAATGAATCTTCTTAAAAACAAAAAGATGCAACAAAGAACCGACGATTCGAATGTTTTTTTTTTTTTTTACAATAATGGTGTATTGATAAATATCGGCCGCGATGACGGCAGCAACCGGGTAGCCTTAGAAATTCTTTTATGCAACACACCTACGTTACACACAGATAACGAGCGATTAGATAATACAATACAATAATTTAACTTGTTTCTTTCCATTCGAATAATTATTACTTCAACGTGGCGTACACACAAGGACGTACATGATACATCCTTTTTTTCTTCGTAGACAATTTAACAAAAGTTCGAACGTAACGCTGACAGTGAGAGATTCTGACTTGAAATATTCAAGTGTTTCAAAGTCTTTCAAGTATTTCTCACTCTTTGCCCCAATTCGAAAACGAATCTACCAGCAATTTATTTACGGCACAGCGAGTGAAGTATATAAAATACTTCAAATAAATACCACTTCAAATAAAATGATATAGCATTGGAAATGATCGTCCTGTTTGAATGGTATTTAGCCATGAAATTTCGTTGATTGCATTTCTTTACTATGCGACCTCGTTTAAAAGCAATCGTCAAGCGTAGTACGTAGAATAGTTAACGACACGTAATTTCAGTTTCCTCTTGAAAAATTTCCTCCGCCATTTTGTCTGTGAATTATCCCGAATCATTCGAATAATATAACTCGATGATAATGACTCCACATGAATTTTATTATCCCTCTTACGTCGTTATATCGTACAACATTATATCCACGTTCGTTGTAATTATCAACAGTTATAAAAGATTCTAGAATTTTAGTTATCAGCTGAATTTAAGTGTGATGCCTCCTTACACAGAAGACAGTCGAGCGCAAAGGGTTAAAAACTGGAACTACTCTTTCTTTTTCCTTTCTTCACGCACTGATACAAAAATTGGAATCGAGGATAATAAATAATAATAATAATAATATATGCAAACTTCTCCAGTATTTCTGCATTTATTGAAATTTTTAATAAATAAGAGGTTACCTTTCCTCAAACAAATTTGCCCTCGAAAACAAATTTCCCTAGATACGAATTCTTCGAGTTGGCTCTCGTAATTCCGAACTAAATTCGTCTCATTGGTCTAATTTGTTGGAGCCGGTTGAACGAAAGATGACTCGTTCTTACGTATACGAATGCGTATAGGCACATACGTTATTTAACCCTAATAAAGTAACATTTAACCTTAAATACGTAACATAATAATATATCGATATTTCATTAAATAATTGAACTTTTTTCCACAATATAACGATATTTTATTAAATAATTGAATTTTTTTCCACAAGATGGCGTATACCTCTTGTACAATGTCTCCTTATTAACCAGTACAACATTCTTGATAACAGTTATCACCCTCTATCCTGAAATTTTACTCAGTTTTATTATTTGTTATGATAAAATTTTTGAAACTTCTGAATTCATTGTTAATCTATAGTATAGATTGTATTATTTGTTGATTTTACATAAAATTTTTTATAGTCAAGAAAAATATTCGGCCTATAATGTTAACTGTGATACGATACCGATATTCCATGCATTAAATGATGCAATCGATGACATCAGTGACTGTTTAACCCCATACGAAGAAGAATTCACGTAATAAATACATTAAATGGCTAACTTTGAAACAGAAGGTTCACTCTGATGTATGCCGTTTGGCACGACAGCAACAATAATGGCAGAAGTCAATCTCGATGGCGGCACGTGACGTCACCACTTTGAAAAAGAAAAAAGGAAAAAAACGACCGAGACGAATTTGACATTTACGAAACAATTTACTGAGTTCTAGACTAGATTAGATCGATTACACCTGATAGTGATAGATGTTCATTTTCTACACCTTCTGATAGATGTTTCACACGCACCTTTTGAAAATAGTACAATTACAATATAGCTACACAGTCGGTCAACACGGTCGGTAATTTATCAATTTACTCACGTTACTTACTGCTGATAATTATCGTGCGAAAAGATCGAGATAGCCGAATGACGTGAATTTCTAAAAGCTACATCTTACTGACCGAATTTTTCTACTTTTGTTGATCTGCAATTTGTAGAATTTCATCAAAAATGACAAACTCGAATGCGCGCGATTTAATTTAAATATATGTAAAGAAAGTAAAAAATAAATTAAATATATGTACTAGGCAGTACAATAAAATTCACATTAAAGGAAAAGACATCAAACAGACGCAAAAAATCCTCCAGGATCTTCTAGGATCATGCAAAATCCCTAGAAGGAATAAGGGTGCTACTTGAAGGTTATGAACATTCGGAAGTAGGTCAATGACGCAGTTTGATTCTACGTGAGCTATCGAACGAGTTGGACGAACTGCAGCACTTTTCACTAAACGTCGAATTCTATAATTGTATAATTTTATATATATAATACACAATTGTATAATTATATATATAATATATAATTGTATAATTATATATATAATACATAAGTGTTTAATATATATATAATACATAACGGTACAAATTATATATATAATACACAATTGTATAATTATATATATAATACATAAGTGTTTAATATATATATAATACA